ACAGTAGATTGTTAACTGTGCCTTCCCAGAGCTGCTATGAAGGCATACTGATCAGAGCCACATAAAGCAGCCAAGCTGAATGCAACCTGTAACAACAAGCACGCAGTACAAAAATGTTGACTGTTATTCTTACACATTGAGCCTAGTGTGTGTTAGCCTAGTGCTTTTAGTTAAAATGTCTAATTTTTATTAAGAAGAGAATTGCTTTACATAAATGAGGTATCAAAGGAAAGTGAATTTCAAACATTTAAGCTCAAAAGGCTTACAATATCGTCGTCCATCTCTGTCATCCTCCTGCCAACCTCACTGTTTCCTTCCTCTTTTTGCATATCTTTTTTCTTTTTTCTCTTTGCATCTTTTTTCTTCCTTCTTCATTTCTTTCTCTCGATCCCCGTGTTTCTGTCTTCATATATCTCCAATTACTTCTTTTTTGTCCCCTGTCTGTCCATATCAATCCTTTTACCTCTCCTATCTTTCTCTTCCCATGTCTCTGCACCTATCCTGCTTTCTCTCTCTTCTCCTTCCCTCCCTCTCTTCCCCCTCTGTCTATCCATCCTTTATTACTTTTTTCTCCCTTTTCATTCCTTGGTGTGGATTTCTGGTATGTAGGTTTTTTTTTCTTTTAAATTAGCTCAGGTGATCTTTTTCCTATACAGCAGTAAAGATGACACCTGCCATCCTCAGACATAACCAGTCCATAACATAAAATTGCAAATCTTTACTTTCTTCACAGCTAACAGTATATTCTACTGAAAGAGTCAAATATCCAAGGAAGCGCTTTATGATAGTACCCATTCCTATTCCATTTCCTCCTACGGAGCCATCACTTTCAACCACTTTAAGCTGATTATCTTTGTATTTATCTCTGAATAACATAGTGCGGTTTGAATTTTCATTTTTCAAGATTATATCTTGAGTTCCCTTTATAGAGATTAGTCAATCCACTTTACCACAGACATGTGTTCATGCTAGAAATAACTTTCTGTGCAGTTGGGTTTCTTTTGGGTTCGAAACTCCCTTGGTAACCAAATCATTGTAATCATTGTACAACGTCCTCCAGCTGGGTCAAGTAGCTAGCTTACTATTTTCCTTCAAAGTAACATCATTTTCCCTGAAGTGACCCCTCCCCCTTTTTTCGCTTAGCTTTCTACAGACTCATCACTAACTCAATCTCCAATTCTCCAGTGCTCCAACTCTCCCTACTAGGATTTAGCCATTCCCTAGCTTTTATTTTCTCACAGAAGTCTCCTTTAGAGCCTTCTATGCCACCCCAATATGCTTGTGGTCCTGCAGATCAGGTACCACTGTGAATTTCCTTCATCTTCTGTGTTCATCTTGTGGCTGGGTCCCTCATCTTTTCTTCATCTTTGGTGGAACATACCTAGAAGCAACTTTCTGAGAAAAGGTTTATAGAAGTATTGTTTTGTGAATGTATATATACAAAAATATGTGGGTCTGCATTCAGTCTCACTGCTAGTGTGTGGGAACTCTGCTCAGGGAGACTAAATGGGAGATGCTAGACTGGATTTTACCCTATGCAGCAATCCAGTGATGGGTTTGTGGGAAGTGCTGATGGGAGTTCAGTGGGTGGGAGAATGCAGTCAAGGATTACCTCAGCCTGGATGAGAAATGCCACAGGCCGAGGCCAAAGAGTCAGGGGTTCCTAACCTCCTGGATGTCCAGTTGCTGCTGAAAACCTCATGAAGTCAGGAATGAAGGGGGCTAGTGGGCCTACAATGAGGCCAGGAGTGGGGATGGGGGTATGGGGAACTCCAGCTTATCTCAGGAGGCAAGAGAATGTCCAGGAGCATGGAGGGGCCTTCTGCAGAAGACTCTGTATGACCAAGCTTTCCCTCCATGGGAGTTCTTAATGAGAGAGACAGTCCTTGGTTCTAAACTGTTTATTGGTTGTTCATCGTGGAGAATAGGTGCATACAATTTCCTCAGGGTGGACCAGAGGTTAAATATCATTTGTGGGAAGGAAAGTCCAGGAAGGAAAGCTTATTGTCTAAACCCTCAGGCCGATCTAGATACCTCATAGCATGGAGAACTCTGTGTTCTGTGCTATGTGACCAGAGGTCATGCTCTTTATGTGGGGAGTCACAGCTACATGTTCCAGGCCAGGAATCTGGTCGGGAGCAAGTGAAACACCTACCGTCCTCAGATGGATGCTGGGGTTTCTGAACCCACTCAACCTTACCAAGGTTCCTGGCACAGTCTACTACCCGACAGAAATATTTATACTAGTCTTACAGTTATTGGAGATGAATAAATTCTATTTGTAAACCACTGGATTTTAATTCTAAATTGGAAATAACATTTGAAAAATTTTCCAGAATTCTGAAAGCATTGTTTTACTGTCTTCTAAATTCTTTGTGTTATTTCTGAGAAGTTCAGAAGGCTTTGTGAATTGAGTATTTGTAGATAATCTAGAAGCTAATTGAATCCAATCTGCTGAAATTTATGGGATTGTGCTTTGGGATGGGGTGTTTTTTTGTTTTTGTTTTTATTCTGCTAGGCAATGATGGCGCCTTCCCACCTGTAAATATTGGGGAAATATTCTTGGATATTTATCTATGGCTTTTTGTTTCCTCGCTCCTGTTTCTTTTCTAGAATTTCTGTCATGTCTGTGCAGGCTCAGCACTGCAAGCTTTCTCCCTTGTTTTCTTAATCTAATGTCTAGGAGATTTATTTAATGTTCTCTCTCAATACTTTCGAGCTTTCTTTCTTTTTAATTTTTTTTTTCTTTCTTTTTAATTTTCATTAGATGGTTTGTCACCTGCATTTTTCCTCTTATACAACTTTCTTTTCTTATTTCATAGATATATTCTGTATTCTTTTGGCAAATATTGTTTTCTTTTTAAAAAATTTTCCCCCTTTACACTTTTCATACTTCTTGTTTCTTTTATTTCTTTTTAATTTTCCATATTTCTCTCTCCATCCTCTTTCTTCTGACTGGTGTACGTCTCTGTAAGCGTTCTTTATTTATTGTACTTATCTTTTGGCCATGTGTATAGATTTAAGATCATGTACCAAAAACATTCACAAAAGGATTTTGTGTTACCAGAGTGGGTAACTGGGGAGGTTAACACACTGCAGTCAACTGAGATACTTTTGTTTAGAATCTCTGAAGTTCCTGTAGCTCCAGCTCTTTCCTTTTGTCTTGGGCAGATGATCCAGAAAAGGGTCTTCTGTCACCTGTTTTGATGGCAAGGGACCATCTGGAAGTGTGCAAGAGCTGAGTCTTATCAGAGATAGACCCATAGGTTATGGTATTGAGCTGTACCTTTGTTTAGCGGGCTCTACTGTCTAATCCTCTCAACTGGGAGACCTCTGTTTAGCCCCTCTTTAGAAGAAACCTCTAGTTTCCTTCTAAGTCCAAGAAGAAAGGAAATGATGTGGCATTTAAATGATCCTTAAACATATTTCTCCTGGCCTCCTTCTGGTACCACCTTTACTACATGTAAAGAGCACCCACTCCTAAAATAGCTGAGTCTGTCACCAAACACTTCCCAGATCTAGTGATCTGTTGCTCATCAGTTAACAGTGCTGCCTCTGGATTGAACCTCTTTCTCTCTCTGTGTGTGTATGTTTGGGCACACATTAGCTCATCTTAAGGAACAACCAAAAGAGAACATTTACCCTCAATTCCTTGTGCCCACTTTTTCTCCCAGTGTCTACATGACATTCTCAAAAGAACTCTCAACAAAAGTGTTTGGAATACCTGCCCAAGGCTTCCAGCTTGGCACTAGTGCTGTGATCTGAGTTCTCTCAAGATCTGGGTCACCTCCTTGTCCTTGTGGTAGTCAGAGTGGGACAGTGTGATTGACAATTGCCTGAAAGTCACACAGAGAGACATTTCCCAAGAGAAAGGAGTGAATGTAGCTGTGACAAGTAGCTATGTTGCAGACTCAGGGTATCTTTGCCCTCCAAAAGGTGAGGATCTTCAAGAGGCAAGAATCTTCTTCAGTGTGTGTGTGTGTGTGTAAGACAGAGGCTAATGTAACCCAGTTACTTTCTACCTTATGTTTGAGACATTGTCTCTCATTGTCCATTGACTAGATTGGCTGGCCAGTGAGCTCCAGGCTTCTGCTTGTCTCCAGTCCACCATCACTGGAGTCACAAGTGTGTGCCACTGTACCTGCTTTTTATGTGGTTGCTAGGAATCTGAGCTTGGTTCCACACACTTACATGGCAAGCACTTTGGCAACTGAGCCATCACAAAACAGTTTCTCAATAGCAATGAAAAGCATTGGCACTACTTCAGAAGCAGCAGCAATAGCAGCAACATCCCCTTTGACGTTTTCCTCCATTGTAGACCTCTGCAACATCTGTCCCTGCTTAACACCCCAAACCTTCTTAACATCATGACCCAGTGCTAGGTAGGCTCTGTCCTCTGAAAAGGAAATGATGAATATAGGGACACACAAACTCTGGACACAGGACTTGGGGGGTGTCTTCAGAAAGGGACAGACACAGGACCATTCTTTGACTCATGAACCAGTAAAAACAGATTGCCACTTGTTTTGCTATGGCAGTTGCAGTCCTGAAGGGCAGTGATTATATGTGCATCCTTTCTGTGATCATCACCCTTGGGTCCCTCACTGACTTCACTTGTGTTGGTCTCTGACATTCAAAGAAGTACTGTCATCCTTCCTAAGTGTTTAAACTACCCGATAATAACAATACTTTCAGTTCCTTTTGAGGCCCCTGGCCACCCATGTCACAGGGAAGCTGTGTAGAGGGCTAAGCCTTTGAAGGGCATCCTTAATGGCAAACTTTGAGTGAAGTCAACCCCTGGAAACTCAGTGACAGCTCACATGTTACTGTCCTTTTCTTATTTAACAAGAACAAAAGGCCACAGTCAGGCCAACCAGTCACACAGGATAGATCTCAATGACATTTTTACTTCTGAACTTTTCTGATATAAAAGAGCCACCCAAGCAGACTCAGACAGCAAGAGTGCGGAATTTGGCAATAAACACCCATTTGCACAGATCTCAGAAAATCCAAAATGGTTGGGTAAAGTACTGCACATTTCTACCAAGGGAAATGTTGTATTTTTGTATGTTCTTAAAGCTTATATTTGCATGTGTGAGATTCCACCCAAGACTCTGTCTTTTCTATTCTGCAGTTCGTTAAAACTCAACCTCATCTTGGCCCTGTCGCTGTCTGTGGTGCACATGCTTTGGTGTTATCCGGTCCTCTCGTCCAAGGTAAGGGCTTCACTGCTGTTTCTGATGGTTAGAAAGATGATCAGGATGGTGGAGTGCCCAATTCAAACAAATCTCAAGAAATATATAACAGAAAAGGTAATTTATTTTGTCTTTAGAGAAAAGTAACTGTAAATAGACTCATGAGATTAGTAAGACAGAAATTTGAATGTGACAGTAGGTAATTCTGGAATACACTAATTTTTTGTGAATTATTTAAGGGTTGTATCCTGCACAAGGAAATGGATGTTTCAATATAAAATGTTCATATTTTGACCTGAGATAATTTATTTATTTCACATACCCACTCTTTATCATAGTAGATATTTTACATCCAAATTGTACCAAAGAACTGCACGGTGGTCATTTTTCAAAAGCAGAAAGTTTCATAATTTTACAAAAAGGTGGCCTTTATTTCCAGATGAAGAATGTAGGCTACATGTTAGATTCCAATGAAGCATTGCCTAAAATATTTACTCCTGTATTTATTCAAGAGTATTGGTAGAGGTCCTAGCTGTATTTCCAGAGCTGCTCAAGACATTCAGAAAAATGATAGTCTCTCTTTGGAGGCATTTATATTCCTTCTGTCATCTGTCCTTGTTTTCATGTCATGATCTTTACAAAATTATCTTTGGCCATTGCTGACACTTGTGAATTTTAACTTTATTTCACTAAAATTTAATCTGTCATGATGTAATTACTGAGCTCACTGCAATTTGTGGACTAGCTTTTGGATAAAGAGAGGTCATAGGAATTCCAAGTGGCACCTCCTTCAAGCACTGTGTTCTAGTTATTTATATATTCAGCTTTCTCATTGATCTTTGAATCTGTCATTTTTCTATTTCCTGTTTACTTAAAATAGCTTCTCCCCTGCCTTTCCCTCCTATCAGTGCTCAACACTAATTTTCTCATTGGTCCGTTAAGACGCGACATTGATCAAGTGTCTGACTCACGATCCGTAAATGGGCATATTCTCTCAAGTGTCTTCCTGATTGCTTTCTATTGTTTGTCCCTAAAGGTTTGCTTGCCGCACTTTCGAACAAGAGGCACTTGTCTGTCGTTGTTTTTAAATTAAGAATTCTTTCTTCTGAAGTATGTAGAGACCTCCTGGGCCACAAGGCCTTGTCTCTCCTTTCGCTGTGTTGTCCGTATTTCTAGCTTTGCTCATGAGAATGCTGTTCCGGTCACAGGCAGGTAGTGCCATGGATGGGGTTCATGGCAATCCAACTGCTCAGGGTGAGTGATGGTGCTGTCTAATCACAGAAGATTTCATCATTTCCTTTCGAGATTCATGAAGTCCATTAGCTGGGCAGGTGCACAGTGTATCCTCATGATGAGTTGGTGCAGCTGCCTCCAGATCAGCCAAGTACACCAAGGTCTCTTTAGGGATGACTTAAGGGTCTCCTAACCGGAACTGGCACCTTTCTGGTTTCATAGGGGTGCTTCTTGAGTGTTTGTGGAAAGAGTCAGTTGCTTCACTTCTGCAATGCTGCATAGATCACTCCGGCTAGAGATTTAAAATGGGCAGCAATTGTCTATCACGCTAACACAGGGGAAAACAGAGTGGAATTAAACTCAGACCTTCTGATTGTTTATTTTTTTACCATAACCAATATTTATGAAACCATGTTTGATTATTCCCGAATCAAACAGAAAACAACACACACACTCCACACATGGAGAGACAGAGATGGAGATAAATAGACAGACACAGACAGAGGGCCGTTGGGAAGGTTTGCTTGGGTGCTCTGAGAACTGGAGAGCAGTCATTCACCCAGCCAGAGCAGAATGCCAGAGAATCTGATGCTTTACAAGCTTTATCCCAAGCCCCAAACAGAGTGAGTCAAGGCAAACTTCTCTCCTACACCAAACAGCAAGAGGTGTAAGTCTTACTTCACCTTCATGTCTCTTTGTGTTTAGTAAAATGCTTAGGCTCTTGTTTTACTGGGGCTGAGAGACCAGGGCTTGGAGTTAGTCGCTTGGTGAACAGCATCTTCTGCAAGCATGCGGTCTCCTCACCTAGAGCTTAGGAGTCAGTAGTGCTAGCTTCACACAGCTCTTTCCTTTGCAGGATGAAATAAAATATCAGGAGGCACGGAGAGTGCATCACTCAGAGAAGGCTTTATTTACCAAGTTCTCTGCTTTGTCAAGGACAGGATTTGGTTGGCATGATGCCAGTTATGAGACTTCTTTTGAAACCGTGCAAGAGTTTTTGAAACCTGGCAAGTGTCAGCAGCTCCCACCAGAGCCCTGGATTAAGGCTGCCTCCAGGACTTACCAGCTGTGATCATAGTGCGGGCTTGGCTCTGGTGCTTGGCTTCCTCATCTGCACAGTGAGGGACTGAACTGCAGGTTCCTTTAGCCAGGTTTGAGTTCCGGGACTCAGGATCCATTTCTTTCACCACTCAGCGCCCCAACACTGTGATGTGCTCTCCAGGCCTTGAGCAATGATGAGAACTGGAACCAGAGCCCAAAGCTGACAGAGTCAGGGTCACACAATGAATGACATCACTTTCTGGAAACCTTGGTGAGCAGTCAGAGAAGGAAGCTCAGTGCCTCTGACTGAGCTTCAGAGTTGGGTCACCCTGGGTGGGTTCTGCCTGGGTGAATTTCTTTGAGTGAATTTAGTTTTTAAACTAGCCTATGAAACAGCAGGTTTCCTTATGGCATATCCATGCATGCTTAGGGCAACAAAAACTTTTGAGACACAGTGTCATGCAGCCAAGTCTGGCCTAAAGCTCACTATATTGCCAAAGATGACCTTACATTTCTTATTCTCCTGCCTCCACCTTCCAAGTGCTGAGATCTTTAGTATGTGCCACCCTATCCAGTTCATGTGTTGCTGGGGGTATGCTAGGTGTACTAAGGGCTCTAGGTATGCTAGCTGGTATCCTACCAACTGAATCACATCCCTAACCTCTAGGTGAATTTTCAACAATATCCCCAGAACTAATCAGAGCCTTCAGATATTCCTTGTAAAATAACCACTACAGGATCACTGTGCAGAATACACAATGCAAATGCTGATCGATGGAACAGAAAGTGGAGAAGCCAGTGGTAACCCTACGTTAAGTAGATGTTGTGTTTCAGTGATGTTTCTTCCCATTAAGAATGAGTCAGAGAGACTTTATAGCTGTAAGATTTTTGAAAATCATTGCTGTCGAAATAAACTTTTAACCCAGAAGCTGTATCCTCTCCCTCTTTCCTCATCAAAATCACCAGGTGCCTGGGAAACCTGATTACTTTCTCATCTTGCTGAGCAGCTGCCCAGCCAGGCTGGAGGGGAGTGACGGGCTAGCTTTTCTAAAGCCAATTTTGGAGAAGACGTCGATGAAACGGTCCTTTCGCAACGGAGTCGGCTCAGGGGTGAAAAAAACTTCATTTCGAAGAGCAAAGCAATGAATAAGTGTGCAAAGGACTCTGGGAATTAATCTCAAGCTATGTAGAGTGTGACTGATGTGGTAAAAAATAGTTGTATCTTACCATGAGATGTGGCTTCCCTCCTCATCCTCAGATATCCCCCTTCTCCTAACTGGCTCAGAGTAAATTAAGTTTTGGGGAAAAATGCAAACCTGTCTCAAACTTCTGCCTGTGAGTGAAAAAACGATTTCTGTGCTTAGCTAGAAACTTCCCGGAATACGGAGGTATCCGCTGGCTTTGATCGTGAATCGGCCACAATGCGGGGGCGTTTTTACTGTGATTCTTCTCCTGCCGTCTCCCTGTGCTGTATACCTCCAAGTGCAGTGGCAGGTATATGCTATTTCTCCTTTAAAATGTGATTTCCTCAAATGACTCAGCCGTGCTGTTTCTGTTTGTGAAAGAGTCTCATGAAGTTCCAGCAGAAGATGAACAATGCAGCTGGATCTATCGGTCAGTTAGTTGGTACCTGCAGCAAGGGCTCGCCAGCGCCCTCTGGGTCTGTTTCTCCCTCTCCTTTTTCCGATTCCAAATAGACACAAATATGGCTGATTGTTTTGCCTTGGAAATTTTGTTTTGTCTTGACTTTTAAATCTTAAACCATGAAACGCTGCCAGTCGCAATGGTGATACCAGGTGTCTGGCTGGTGCTTGTATGGTAGGGGTTACATTCCCTCCACACCTGGATGATGGATAAGTCTCCCTATCCCTGCCAGTCAGGCCCAGCACCCTTACATTGACACTCTTGACATCGGTACTTTAGAAAAAAATGGACAGTGTAGGACTCAGGTGATGGTGGTGGTGGTGGTGACAGCAGTCAAAGGGCACTATCCTTGGTCACCAGATTCCAATAGAAAAGTCTTCAGGATTTGGAGGTCATGGTAAGCAGACTCCAGACATGTCAGATTGAAGAAGGTTCTAAGAATTCACCTGAAAACACCTGGCTTTGCAAGGCCTTCTAGTGCTTTCCCTTACCTATTGTAAAAGCAAAGGGCTTCCTGGCTTGTGCGTGTTCACTTTACTCTTGCTGTTCAAATACACAGGGGGTAGTTCAGACTGAAGTAACGTAGCAATGTGTGCACCTGCTAAAGGGGCTTTAAGGTTCTAAGAACATCAAGGAGACACTTTCAGGAAGCCCAGAGGAGACATCCAAGCATGGAAGGTCTCCTGTGCTGCTGTGTGCACTGAGGCCAACTGTCTCCTGTCTCTCAGCAGTCATGTCCTTCTGATGGACCCGATGGTGTGATGACTGTGGCCTCCCATGGTACCAATCTGCACCTCCCACAGCTTTGCATCACTCAGTGACCTCCCCATTCCAGTGCTTAACACCTGGGCCTTCACCTTTGTGTACCGTTTGGAGGCAGGCATCCATTGTTGGTCAGTTCCATAAAGCCAGGTGTGCAGGGTCTTTTGTCTAATGGCTGCACCAAGGCAGACTCAGGGAGGAGACAGCATCATACATACTACTGACACTGGGTATGCTCTCCCTGGTTCCTTGGATGGAAAAGGTCATCTTCACCTTCTGGACTGTGGTTTTGTTTATCACATATCACACATTATTCAAGGGACAGATGGTACCTCTGATAACTTGAAACATTCATTTTTTTAGATTTATTTTTATTCATGTATAAGCGTCTGTCTTGTCTGTGGGTATACACACATGACTGAGGATGGCTGCAGAGGCCAGAGAGAACATCAGATCTCTTGAAGCTGGAATTATAGACCTTTGTGAACTGATGTGGGTTCTGGGAACCAACATCAGATTGTCTACAAGAACAGTAGGTTATCATCATTCTAGCCCAGATTCTGAAACATTCATAGAAAATCTACACACTGTCTAAGGTCATCTCCCTCTCCTTATTTCTGTCTCCCCAAATATGCACATAGATACACTCTCATATAGGCTGACAGACCTTATACACACACACACACACACACACACACACACACACATGTGCATATATATATATATATATATATATATATGTCACACATACACACAAGCAACATATGCATACGTACTGACCCCACATACAAGCACACCCTACACACATATCACATACATATGCACATCTCACACATACCATATACATAGAGACACACATATCACACACATACCCACTGTCTTAATTAGTGTTTTTTATTGCTGTGATGAGACACCATGACCACAGCAAGTCTTATATAGAAAAACATTTAACTGGGGCTGGATTACAGTTTCAGAGGTTTAGCCCATTATCATCATGGAAGCATCGCAGCATGCAGGCAGACAGAGTGCTGGATGAAGAGCTGAGAGTTCTACATCTTGATCCACAGGCAGCAGGAAGAGATTTGGCTTTTGTTTCTTCTGACTTGAGCTTACCCCTTAGTAACATACCTCTTCCAACAAAGCCACACCTACTCCAAGGTCATACCTCTAATAGTACCACTCCTTATGGACCTTCGGGGGCCATTTTTATTCAAACCAACACACCCACATATACACCATACACCACACCTGCTACATATATATCACACACATACATACACATGCACACACACACACACAGACAGACACACACACACAGGCAGTTGAAGTGAGGGCTATCTAGTATCAAAGGCATATCTTTGGGTCTTGCTGTAGTCATGACCTATGATTATCCCCAGGACAAGAATGGGCAGTGCATAGGCTGATGGTGAGAGAAAACACAGAGCTAACAAACACAAGATTGGTCAACTAGCTGTCCCCTCACTGTCCATGATCCTGGAGCTCACTTAGACACCGCAGAAATGGTGTTCATGGTCTCCCCCGACCTTCCTCCAGCCAGCAGCTATGTGAAGGTGACACCAGCCATGGCTGGCTCTTCAGCCCTTTAGCCATCATTTCTGTTCTCAGGATACCTGGAATAAAGGAAGAAGCTTCCCTGCAGGTGTTGAAAGGAGACATTACCCTGGGGCATGTGAGTACTTAGTGTGTCCTTGGCACCATCTCCCCTATTTGCCATTTTTATTGGGCTCCTGGGAATCTGAATGTGCTAAAACCATTGAGATTTTTTTAAAAATCTGAAACAATAAACAACAACTTCAAAGTGGATGCAACCTTTTTTTTTGAGGGGGGAGACCATTGCTGCTCCCTGATTTCATGTCAGTGGATACAGATGGCAGGAAGAGATCTCGGTATATCCAGGACTGATCACCTTTTGCCCTTTGTTGTCTGCCACTGAGTCTGAGTGGACAGCTTTAGAAATCTAAGCCCTTGGTCGGTGTCAGCTCTACTCTCAGAACATCTGGACCTAGCCAGGGATCTGCACTGGGTGATGGTCATAGGCTCCACAGCACATGGAGGCCTGATGGTCACCATGGGAAACGCTTCCAGTAAGATGTGGAAAGCCTGGCTGGAGTGTGTCAGGGAACAGGGTGCTTCGTGTCTTCCCAGAGTTAATGATGGGAAAGCTAACGGTATAACCTCATGGCTGGTCTTTACAGCTTTATGGTAGGAAGCAGATTGCTGCATCACCGTGGATGCGGCTCCTTGTAAGTGCGAAAGGAAAGGCTAAGCTTGAGAGCAGTCTTCCCAGTTCACTATTATTTGCATTTATATGGATTCATTGGAATAAGAAAACACCAAATACATAATTGGAAAATTTCCCTTCCCATTTCTCAATGTAAAATCTTTAAGCCTTAGGGAAGGGGCAAACTGAAAAAGTGTTCACCACTGAAGGATCAAAGGGGATTGCACGTAGGCAGACAGGAAAGTTGTCTTTCGGAAGAAAATGTAGCCACTTCTTTCCCAGACTTCTGTAATAATGTATTTTGGACAAAATAATGTTCTGAGTTACCAGAGAGGTGGCTGAGAAAGTCACTTAAACCTTTCGGGGTGTGAGCCTAATATCATTAGCTGTTTTTGGTCATTGATCCTTACTCTGGAAGCTGCATGCACCAGGGATTAGTCTGGCGTGAAGGGATGGAGATGAGAAGGTACCAGTGACCTTCCTCACCAAGGGCATTGGTGGAGGCCAGCATTTTGCTTGGCTAGCTGGAGGCTCTGGAAGCCCTTTAGAACATAAACAGCCCACAAAATGAGTAACTTGTTGTTTAGCCTCCTCTGACTCACCCGAACAGGATTGAGTTTCATGTTGTACTAGAGAATTTTAATGGATTGAATTTTAATGGTTTTAGTAAAACCAGCAGGAGCCACATGTGTCTGGTGAGAGAGGATGCTGATATATGTGGAGGAGTTAGACACAAAGTTATCAAGGGAGGCAGGAGAGCCAAGAACTCTTGGCCCCATAAGCTGCCCTCAAAGCCTATAGCCACACTTTCTTGGTCTAACCACATCACTTAGCTTCTAGAATTCTAACTCTGAGATTCCCCAGTACAAGGCACATGTGGCATCACTTAGCTTACCAGGCTGTTTCTCTTTCACTGATCAATTCATTTGCTCAAAAATATTTGCTGAGCTTGTACTAAACATAGATACAGTGACCCAGACACTGGGAATCCAGAGGTGTAAAAAATTAATCAAAACTCTTGGATCATTCCGACCAAGAATCTTGCTGGTAAATTGGTAGTTCTTATGTACCTAGCCTTATTGGTAGGGAAGCTAATGTAAAAGACTAGTAGGTGTTACTTAACATGTACATATATGTAAATATATATAATGCAATCATGCGGTAATACATATATACAGGTAGCATCTAAGTATTTGGTTACTTTCAATTGTATAGCTGTAAGGAGCACCTTATCTGATGGCAAAAAGGAGCGGTGGGGCTGACAAATGGAGGATTGTGGGGTAGGAGCAAGAGAGCAATCTTGATGCAGTTGCTAGAGAGGGTGCCTCCCGGAGAGATCAGAGCACAGAAGATTCACAGAGACAGGTAAGTGGGTCTCTATAGGGTTTTGTAAGAATCTTGGTTTTCCTGAGTGGTACAGAGAACTGGCAAGTTTCCAGCAGATCTCTGTCTTTTGGTCTTGGTGACTTTATACATGTGAGACGTAAAATAGCCCTGTAATCAATTTTAACAACTGCAGTTATTCACTGCAGGAAGGGCACCCAGTGATACAGACTCCCTTCTCTTCATGCCTGCTTCCCTCTTATGTCCTCAGAGTAGCCAAGCTGGTGGGAGGTTTTGTTTGTTTTTAGACAGGGTCTCACTGTAGAGCCCTGGGTGACTGACTTGGAACTTGCTGTGTAGACCAAGCTGGCCTCAAACTCACAGAGATTCAATTGTCTCAAGCTCCTGATGTTGTTATTAAAGGTGTATGTCACTACAGATGGCAGAAACAGCTCAGCTGGAATGTGAGTTTCTTATCAGTTACTGAGTAAGGACAGTGGACAATATCCAAGATGCTGGGGATACTTGACATGACAGAAGAGTTCCTGACTTCTTCCCTCCTCTATGCCCCCTCCTCCCATTCCCAAGTCCTCTGCTCTACTGACTCTCTTGGACTTTGGGAAGATGGCAGTATTCCTGCAGGGTTCAACATCATTTTGCTAGCATGGGCTGTGAGGAAAAGCTAGCTTCTGATAGGAGACAGTAAAGACAGAGTAAAGAACAGAAAAAGAACATAAAAGATT